TCCCCACGCCTTGGAACATCACCCGGGAAAGAAAAGTAAGGCACAGAAGCTGTGCTGACCTTCTGTCCCACACCCAGATACATGGAGACTCACTGCTCCCGAAAGACATTCGGTCTTTCTATTATTACTAAGTGAAACATTGCATAGCTTTCTTCTCTACTCCTCTCCCCCAGGGGGCCCATTATAACTGTGGATAGCAGCCCTCATTTATACTTTTTAAATATAATTCGGTGTTCCCAAAAGCAAAACAAAAGACAAAATCTCAGCCCAATTAAGAAGAAAATTTCCAAAAAACTGAATATTACTAAAACAAGCAAAAACCTTTGAACTAGTAACTTGAAACAAATACATCAACAGTATTTTTAATCCATGACAGGGGACCAAAAAGTCCCACTCAAATACTAGCTGGAAGGTGCAAATGGCACTCCTGGACACTTTACTTTAGGGAGAGAGTTTGAAGACTTAAGTCTTTGAGCCCCTAACCACCAGGGCTGTAGTAGAAAATAATAAAGCTGTGGTAAGTGAACCAGTGGCATTGGCCTGGGATTTTGAAATAAGTGAGGACCACACAGCCCTCCACCGTTCATGACGCATCAGGCTCTGGCGACTCTGACAAGATCACATTTCATACCTCCCGTCATTAACTGCTCCAAAGATATGACCTGATCTGGTCAAACGCTATCGCTATTTCTCATCCCACAGATAAAAACAGTTTAGTGAGTAACATACAAGAAACCTGAAAATGAACTGTGACCGTCAAACTTGGTGATCATGAAGCATTCATAAACGTGTAGAGAAAGAAGTCCCCAGTGGCTTCCGTGGCTGGATACGCTGCGTTGTATGTTCTTCACCGGGAAGCTCATTTGATTCCCAACCTCACCTCAGCAAAGGCAGGTCTTAGCGCAGAAACTACGGCAGTAACTGGGCAACCGCTGACAGGAATTACCCTTCGCGTTCCCCAACTTGGCCTAAACCTTGAAGCCAAGACCATGGCCGGGAAGTTCACAGAGGGATCCTCCCAGGAACAGCCCAAGCAGCGTCTCGTGAGTAACTGCGTTCATTTTAGACGTAAGCCTGTCATCGTTTCGTTTCAAGTTAAGTGACACGCTAAACCAGAAGAGCGTGAGGCAGCGATCCGGCAGCAGAAGAAAAAGGACTTTACAAAAATTTTTTCAACAAGAATATCGCATTTGTGTGATAAGCCTGCTGGAAAACAGCATCTGCAGTAAGCTTAAAGATTAATCAAGGATAAAATAAAAATTAAAAAATTAAAAAAGATTAATTAAGGAAAAGCTTACAGAGCAGAGACAGAGAGAGACGAACCAGGAGCAAGGCTGAGAATCTCTAAGAAACCAGATGAAAGTGACAATAATCATGTGTAATCTCTGAATGGGAAGATTTCTTTTTTTCTCTCTCTTCTGTTTTGTCTAAATGTATATATTTTGATGGAAAAAAAAGTTTTCTAAGTAACTCCCAGAGATGAACGTGACACTACTGAATGGTACACTGTTAGGATGAGCGTGCCTGGCATGGGTCCTCCTTGCCAACTACCAGGGTTAACTCACGCATTCATCGCGGTCAGCAGCTATTAACTGAATGCCAAATACATACATAGCCTGAGGATATCATGTTAAATAAGTCTCTTCCCTCACAAGTTTTAAGTTTAGTATTTCAAATAGTCTTACAAGACATGCTGGTTTGGTGTGAAGGATCGCATGGTTTAGTCATGTTCCTTAATGCCCTTTCCCAGGCCTCAGAAAATGGCAGGAATCCAGATTCTCCCTCTAGATTCCCCTACAGGAAAGTAGAAGGGAGAGCAGGTAAAGGCGTACTTCACAGTCCTTATGTTAAAACCAGGTGGCTCACATCTGTAATCCCGGCACTTTGGGGGGCCCAGGTGGGTGGATCACCTGAGGTCAGGAGTTCAAGACCAGCCTGACCAATACGGTGAAAGCCCATCTCTACTAAAAATACAAAAATTAGCCGGGTGTGGTGAAACCTGCCTATAATCCCAGCTATTCGGGAGGCTGAGGCAGGATAGTCACTTGAACCTGGGAGGCGGAGGAAGCAGTGAGCCGAGATCGTGCCACTGCACTCCAGCCTGGGCGACAGAGTGAGACGGTCTAAAAAAAAAAAAAAAAAAAAAAAAAAACTAGGGAAGCCAGCTTTGGTGACATTCTCTCACAAGTGGAGAGAAAGCAAAGCTCCTGGTCAAACACCAAGTGGCAAATGAGAGCAGAGAGGCTGAAGCAAGGTCCTCCTCGGAGTCAGTGCAGCTCTGCCCACCCCAACTCCACGTCTCCACCAGTACACATGTGTGTGCCTCTGAGCCATCTGCCACAGACAGGAAATAAGAAACACGGGACAACTCCGCACTACACTAGAAAAATAGACGCAAAACACATCAGGCCAGCAGGAAGGATCTCTTGAAAGAGAGAACAGGCTGTAATCCCAGGACTTCTAGAGGCCGAGGCAGGAGGACAGCTTGAACACAGGAGTTGGAGACCAGCCTGAGCAACATAGTGAGACCCTGTCTCAGTTTAAAAAGAGAGAGAGAGGGAGAACAGGGCCAGGCACAGTGGCTCACATCTACCACCCAGCACTTTGGGAGGCTAAGGCAGGAGGATCATTTGAGCCCAGGAGTTCAAGGCCAGCCTGGGCAACATAGTAAGACTCCATTTCTACAAAAAATGGGAAAAAATAACCGAGCATGGGTGTGGTGGCAAGCATCTGTGCTCCCCACACTTGGGAGGCTGAGCTCAGAGGCTCCCGTGAGCCCAGGAGGTCAAGGCTGCAGTGAGCCATGACTGCACCACTGCTCCCCAGCCTGGACAACAGAGTGAGACCCTGCCTCAAAAAGAAGGCAAAGAAAAAGAGAGAGAGTGAGTGAGAGCCAGTGAAAACCACCAGGGCAAAGCCTAGACTACAGTCAGGGAAAGGAAGACAGAGTAAAAAGCTGTCAATAAAACAGAAAAAAGAAAAAAAAGGCGGTGAATCAGAGGAGTCAACATTCTCTTCCTTTTCCTAATATTTGAGACAGGGTCTCACTGTGCTGCCCAGGCTGGCCTCAGACTCCTGGCCGAAGCCATCATCAAAACACAGCCTCCCAAACAGACACAGATTTTGTTGGTGTGTTGTCCTCCATGTGTTTGTTCCATAATATTTGGAGGGCACCTACTATGTGTGAGTGACACTAATAGATGGTAGATATAACAACACCCAAGAAATGCAGCATTAGGCCCTGCTGTCCTGGGGGGCCACCATTCAATAAACTGTTACAGGGTCTCAGGAAAAGCACCCTGAGGAAGGAGCACAAAGGACCACAGAGTCACACAGGAGGGGCCCAGACCAGGCCAGAGCTAGGATGAAGTACTCCATGCCCTGATTCCACATCTGGGCTGGGGACACTCCAGGGACTAAGATGAAGTACTCCATGCCCCAA